GAAGAACAGAAGAAATATATGAGGGCCACCACATCAATAATGAAAAATGCACTGACAGCATTATAGTAGGTCGCTAACCGTATTGCTAAGGCTAAAATGCCATTCACCATCGGGTATGAATTGATCTTGTCTTCCACTAAATACACTCATGTCCATAAATTAAGGATAATTCGGAGTCACGCGGAAATCGAACTCTAAAATAAATATATCACCTGTAAAATCACTAAACACATCTTCAAGAATTATATGCAAATTTCAGGAAGTAACCAGATGACACCGATGGTACGTCACAATGACGAGAGTGTAACAGAGTGATATATAAGGAATACAGACAAAGAAGTAAAATTGTTCGCAGGCGCTTTATAAGCATTTCAGTGCAATAACCGGATAGTTATGACACAAAGGACGCATTTGGATATTTTTTTACGTGGTAGAATTATCGGCCGCCTGGAATGTGGGCTTACCCAACTGGAAGTATCAGACGAACTTGGAATTGCCCAGAGTGTCATCTCCAGGCTTTGGCAACGATTCCAAGATGATGGTAATGTGAATAGACGTTACAGCACAGGTCTCCCCAGAGTTACAACGCCGAATGAAGAACTTTATTAGGCAGTTACTGCCAAAAGAAACAGGCGGAGCACAGCCTCAGACCTGTCTCGTCAGCTCTCTTCAGCCACTGGTACGACAATTGCAAGGCAGATCATGTACCGACGCTTAGGGCAGATTGGTCTATATGCTCGTAGACCTGTCAGATGCGTTCCACTTACTGCAACTCACTGTCGCCTGCGGTTAGCCTGGAGTAGAGAGCATGCATTGTGTACACTGCAACAGTGGGCTTGTGTGATGTTTTCCGACGAGTCCAGGTTTAGCTTGCAGTCTGATTCTCGCCGGACTTTCATATGGAGAGCGCCAGGTAACCTGTTACTACGAAGAAAACATCATTCAACGACACCGTTACGGTGGTGCAAGAGTGCTCGTTTGGGGTGGAATTATTCTGGGTTCCAGAACTGACCTGCATGTTCAAATTGGAACCATGACAGGCCAAATCTATCGGGACGTCATTCTGGAACAACATGTACGTTTGTTTCGGGGCGCCATGGGCGCACAATTTGTGTTTATGGATGACAACGCCCGTCCTCACCGTGCAAACAGCGTAAGCGAATGCCTTCAATCGGAGGATATCACCCGTATGGACTGGCCAGCATTCTCACCGGACTTGAATCCAGTAGAGCACGTATGGGACATGCTTGGCCGACGAGTTGCAGCCCGTCAACCTCCTCCTACATGTCTAGCAGAACTTCGGAGAGCATTGCTTTTTGAGTGGTGTAATATCCCCCAAGATCAGATCGATAATTTGATACTCAGCATGCCTAGGCGTTGTATGGACTGTATTGCATCGTCTGGGAGACATACAATGTATTAACAATCATACCAACCATGTAATATTGGTTTTTTGTAAATAGGTTTTTTTTTTTTTTTTTTGTGATATCGTCCAGGGAGAAAAAATCGCTAATTTTTTTAATAATATCAAACATTTAGCATCTTTTTTTTGCTCTTTACCTTTTGTTTAATAAATAAGCTTTACAAATAAGTCAAATTTGTTTTGCTTCTAACTCTTCCTTTGCCTGATTTTGCATTATCCTTAATTTATGGACATGAGTGTACATTTTTTGTGAACTTCTAGGAGAGGCTGCTGTGGAAAAGATAGCACATGTGCCTTTGTCGGCTAGAACTGAGACTAGGCGCATTGAGGAAATAGCCGAAGACATTGAGACACAATTGCTGGAGAGGATTAATACATCACCGTGGTACGCACTCAAGGTTGATGAATCTACCGATATCGACAACAAGGCAATACAATTTATTTATGTGCGATATATATATATCAGGAATGTGCGCATGAGGATTTGTTATGTGCATTATGTTCCCAACCAAACACTACAAGAGCAGAACTGTTCACGACACTGGATGTCTGTATATCAGGACAACTAAAATGGCCCCTTTGTGTCGGCATATGCCCAGACGAAGCTGATTCCATGACCGGACGACTGTCTGGTTTAGTTGCTCAGGTTAAGGAGGCTGTACAAGACAGTGAATCTACGCATTGTCTCATTCACAGGGAAATGCTGGAAAGCAGAAAAATGTCGCTACAATTTAACAGCGTGTTGATTGATGTCGTTAAAGTTATTAACCACATCAAAGCACACGCCCTTAACTCGCACCTGTTTCAGCAGCTTTGTGAGGAGATGGATGCAGACTGCAGATGACTTCTCTTATACACAGAAATAAGATGGTTATCCAGAGGAAAATCGCTGACCAAAGTATTTTAATTACGAGAGCCATTGCAAAGATTTCCTCTCAGAAAAGAAGTCACCGCTGGCAGCACGTTTCAGTGATAAGGTATGGGTCGCAAAACTGTCTTACCTGAGTTATATATTCAGCCTGCTCAATGAATTCAATCTGTGCCTTCAGGGGAAAATGACAACTGTTCTCAAGCTGGCAGACAAAGAAGGTGCATTTAAGGCCAAACTGGAATTGTGGGGACGGCGCGTGAACACAGACATTTTGGACATGTTCAAATCAGACGAATCTAGTACGTCTATGCAAGAAGATCGACTGTTAGAGATTGAAAATGAGGGTGGTCTTAAAACTACGTTCGAGACAGCAACTCTGCCGGTGTTTTAGATTAAAGTCATGGCGGAATATCCTGAGATTTACACCACAGCACATAAATCCCTACTGCCATTTCCGACAACCTATCTGTGCGAAGCGGGGTTTTCTTTCTGCCTTTGCAGCAACTAAAACAGAAAAACGGAATAACCTGGACATAAGGCAACACACTTCGGATATTATTGTCTCCTATTACCCCCCAGATGTAACCGTCTCGTAGTAAAGAAATAAGCTCGGGGTTTTCATTATTTAGCGTTGAGTTAAAATGTTAAATCACTTTATATACAATTTTTGGTGTAACTGTATTTTATTTTGAAATATCATTAAATTAAAATTATTAAATCTAAACAATCTAAAATATAAAAAATCAGCGGGCCGCGATAACATTATGAAACACTGACCGGTCCGCGGCGATAAAAGGTTTAGGAGCACTGACTTAGACGATGTTCTGCTGTGAGAATTCGCGAATTTTATGCTACGCCTCTTTCGACTTAGCATTCGGCAACTATATGTGGGTGGCTAGTTTTATCTCTGTCAAGAGCGTTAGGTTAGTAATTCCCCTGTTTTGTAATTTAGCGAGAAATATGCGAATCAGAGCTTGTAAATTCATTCTTTAAGGACTTTGTCTTAAAATCTTGTAGAAACACGCTTTTTATGTCCAGATTAAAACGTGCCATTATGTGTAGTGCCATGCTTCAATGTCTATTCCACTGTTTTTAATTTGAACTAAACTTTTTGTGTATTTTTCTTATTTTATTTCTTTTCAATAATTTCTTTCACATTTCCTCTATACAGATAAACATGCAAATTATTATTATTAAAATTCAAAATTGTTTCGAAATTATTTCTTGTGTTTATTCTTAAGAAAAACAAACTAACCAATTAACTCGGGATAACTATTTACCACTTATTTTGAGTCATAAAACTATTAAAAAACATAAATATTTTGGAAAAGTACCGGGTGATCAAAAAGTCAGTATAAATTTGAAAACATAAATCACGGAATAATGAAGATAGAGAGGTAAAAATTGACACACATACTTAGAATGACATGGGGTTTTATTAGAACCCAAAAAAAAAAAAAAAGTTCAAAGGTACTGTTATCGGGCCTTCTTTCTTCGAGGAAATGCGTGATTCTGGTTTTGTAACTGCTACCGTAACGGGTGAGAAGTACGCCGATATGTTACAGAATCGCATCGTCCCCAGCCTGGCTGATAAACACCTGCTGGAAAGTGCGATTTTATGCAGGATGGCGCTCCACCCCGCATTGCTAGACGCGTGAAAGATCTCTTGCGCGCGTCGTTTGGTGATGATCGTGTGCTCAGCCGCCACTTTCGTCATGCTTGGCCTCCCAGGTCCCCAGACCTCAGTCCGTGCGATTATTGGCTTTGGGGTTACCTGAAGTCGCAAGTGTATCGTGATCGACCGACATCTCTAGGGATGCTGAAAGACAGCATCCGACGCCAATGCCTCACCATAACTCCGGACATGCTTTACAGTGCTGTTCACAACATTATTCCTCGACTACAGATATTGTTGAGGAATGATGGTGAACATATTGAGCATTTCCTGTAAAGAACATCATCTTTGTTTTGTCTTAATCTGTTATGCTAATTATTGCTTTTCTGATCAGATTATTGCTTTTCTAATTATTGCTTTTCTAATAAAACCCCATGTTATTCTAAGTATGTGTGTCAATTTTTACCTCTCTATCTACATTATTCCGTGATTTATTAAGTTTTCAAATTTATACTGACTTTTTGATCACCCTGTATTTCTAGAATTTTTTGTTTCTTGTTGCACAAATTAAAAATACTACACAGGTAACAAAAATGAATATTTTTTGCAAAACTGAACGGAAACTGAAAAATAAAGTATTAGTTAAGGGGTTAAGGCGTGTGTCTTCGTTTCATCCACTTCTATACGTTAATGACGTCAGCAGTGGGACGAGCCTAACCACGTTTGCTTACTGGCCTTGCTAGTACTAATGCCACTGTTCACATGGCACAAATCTGCGCATCTTTTATCAGATTTCTTATTTTGAATGAGTAATTAAATTCTCTTTACTGAACAATTAAATGCTTTCAGGGCATGCTGAGTTTTAATTAACAGTTCGATGCAGTACAAGTGCAATGAATACCTAACAATTTCAATGCGTATTCTTGCAAATGATATTCAAAGAACAGAGTTCCTGGACATGAGAGACGGCTTTTGTAGCAGCCACCACAATTTAATATATCGTTATTATAAGGCTTTCCCAACCCCTTTCCTACATCGACCTCTTATAAGAGAATGGTTTTCTACGTGGACCTTCTTACAATAACACTTACCTTCTCAATAATATACAGCAAACAACATAATAATAATACAAATAACTGCACATAAATAACTGGAAGATAACAATTAAACTTTAAAACAAAGATAACAATTGGATCAATGACAATAATTACATGTTTTAATTTTTCCTTTTACAATTGAAATATTATTCTTCGTGATGATTTAACTCCAGTCCCCGTTAAAACATTATTAACATTTTGCTTTCAAATTACTTCAAAACATCTTTCAAAATATAACTTACCAGTATGGATGCACACTTTTAAAATAATTCTACTTTAATTAAACTTAGGAGATAATATAATCAATTAATCAATACTGTTTAGGAAATAAATTATTATATATATATATATATCAAGCAAGGTAGTTATTAAAATACTGAATGACCAATTTGGTCTAGATATATATATAACAGAGGACTATTATAACATGTTATAAGGTATTACTCCTGCCTTCTTAGCATACCTTCGTGGTCAGCACGCTTGGCGCGTATTCGAGAGGTCCGTGGTTCGAGTCCCGGCAAGGGATTGCTCATTTTTCACGTCTCTTGCTTCCAAATGTCCTACCTAATGTCTCTACAATGTAACTGTGCACCTCCCTTTTTGGTTGGTCGCACCAAAAGAATATATATATAGTGGAGTACATTATATATATATATATATATAGGTATAACAGAGTGGGTGTATATATAAAGGTTTTTTTTAGTTTGTTTTCCTTTCTAAAATTATACATATATATAACAGAGTGGCGTTTTTTGTTCTTATATATTGTTAAATTCTGCATTTTTTGCTTAAAAAGTGATTGAATTATGCTGTTCTAATATTCTGGTTAAGATTTTTATGTTTTTAGTTAACCTACACGCAAAATTTTTAGAATTATCAACAATATGAAATTGTTTAAGTGTGACTAAGCTTAACGAAGCAGCCATTTTCAAATTTAGTAGAATAGTGAATTAAGTCAGTTTCTGCACCTTCAGCGTCTTTTTGACGAGTAAGGACCCAAAAGAAACTTTCAGTTTTGTGCACCGAAAAATCTGCCTTCTTGCCCGCTGGCTGAATTGCTTGTTTTTTCGAGGAAACTAATTTTAATTATAATTTTTTTTAAAAAACTGTTTTAACCGTATTTGGTGTTTTATTTTTTCTCTATATTTTTAAATTTTTAACGAAGATGTTTAGAGTGTTAGCGTACTTTTGCCTTGCCGCGAAGTGAGAACTCAATTAATTGGATAAGAAGAAATATATCTCTTACGAAATTCGACGAAATGAGTTTAAATGAAATGCAGCAAAAAATGTGTATAATTTATTAGGCCGTACAAGGAAGTTATATGGTGGCCCCATCAGATTGAATTTGTTTTAATATGACAAATACAAACAAGTTTTCAGAAACAAAATAGCAGATTCTAATTGCACAAAACTTCTATTTTAATGAACCTGATGCTTATGCTTGACGAACTGGTTCGATTGGCATAAAAACAGATTAACGTAATTCTTATATCACCTCGTTCAAAAATATATAACCCTTTCCTTGTTTTCCTTAAACTGCGCTCGTAAACTTCCACTGGCAAAATTTTTCTGGACTATTAGTCTGCTACAAAGTTCTACAATTTGTGCTGAGTTGAGCCAAATGCCTCTGCAAAAGGTGGTGAACATTACTTTTTTAAATTTTGTTACGTCCTAAATCTTCGCTCATTATTTTATTTATTGCTCCTAGATGTATTTAACGAGTTTGTTATTGATTTCTGAGTCGGCGGATTTCTCTCGTTGGCAACAATTTCAGTTAGAAACGATAGAAACAGCATGTTCCTTTTTCGGGTACTCGATTTGGAGTGTTCTTTCCATGTAGAAGTAACCGATCACGTTTTCCCATTTTAATAATGTTGTTTATTTTGCATGTCGAAATTTTAATAGCATGCATTTCGCAGTTGAATTATCTAATTGTTGTTTTTAAACTATGGAATACAAATATATATCGTCAGAAAGCACAAAAACATATCCTTCAAGCCACAGCTTGTTTACATGAGATATATTGAAAAAAGAATAAAGGCAACAGACTATAATTCTCATTTCAAACAACAAGCTGTGTTCAGAAAATTTTACTCCAAATATTTATTATTTATTTATTTTTTTTCATTTTTTTAAAATTTTTTATTGAAATTGTTCAAAAAATGTTTATATACCCTCCGTACAGGATATAGCTTTTATAAAACTAGCAGTTAATTATCAATTTTATTAATGTATTTTTTATAAAAAATTTTTTAATTTATTAGTGCAATTTTATTAACTATTATTGCAATTATATTTTTACAATTTTATTTACTATTATATTATGAAATTTTATTATTATTATTTATTAATGGCTATGAAATATTGTGCCTTTGGTCTCTCGTAAAGAGTTCTCTCTAAGGGCAAACCAACTACGATGGAGGGACTCTGGAAAATACTGCAAGAGGAATCGAAAACAGTGTCCTTGGAAATTTTACGAAATGCTCCTTTGTCATGGAAAGCACGATGCTGACTTAGTAGCCCAGGAAAAAGTCTATAAGATGAGTCATTTAAAAAAAAATACTCTTTACATTTTAAACATTGATTAAATGGCCGCGAAATAGTTCTGTAAATGTGTAAACCTCCTCTGGAGCTACTTGCGTGGCCAGTTGACTAAAACAGCTATTATAAAAGAAAAAAAGTGCGTAATGATGTTAATGAATCCAGGTAATGTAATTTCACGGGTCCAGCTAGTATTAAGTAACAACTGAACTGAAACTGGTGGCTCTAGGCGCCACCATTTCTGCAAAATATGGCTAAATTTGAAAGAGAAATGTATTTTATTTTGCTGAGTGGCAACACACTTCTTTTATATCGCGGAATTTTCTGCTCAAATTTTAAACATAAATATCTTACGTTTTGCAGAGTGGCAACATAAAGCATTTTAGTCCCTAAATTCTTACAAAAATCACTTAAATTCACATAGATACCAGTTGCCCAGAATAGGTATTATAAAAAAGAATATACATGTCATTTTAATGAGTGCAGTTAGCAAAATTTCATAAAAGTATTTAAGATTTCCGATTACGCATCTCATGATTTAAATATATATTTTTTTTAATTAATCCCATTAAAAAGAAGAAAAATATTCTCAAGAACTGCATTTGCTGTTCTTAAATTTCTTATTTTATTGAACTGTAGCAGACATATTAAATTTCAGAGTTAAATATCATACGCATTAATGAACGACAACAGCCTGGGGTGGTGAATATAGAAGTATTTTATGTCATTCAGTGACAACACATTGCTTTTAAATAGCCGAGTCTGTTAATTTAGTTCGACAGGTAAGCATCTTACATGGTAGACTAGACTAGAAGAGAAACACGCTAATGTGACAATCAAAATCGTAAAAACAACCTTGTATTTAGCGTAAGTATAATGAAACACTCAATCGATTTCGAGGGCAGCTAAAGGTCCCTCCTCATCAGGAGAAAGAAATACCTAGAAAGAAGAAAATAAAGGAGAAGGAGTCTCAGAAACACGTGGTCTTTATCAGCACTGCACGTGGTTATAACTGGATTTTTAATCAGAGTTGCATCTTACATTTTGTCGCATGGCAATTGTCTAGTGAGCTGGAGATAAAAATGTTTTATTTCGAGCAGAGTTACATTGCTCGCTTTCAAATTAAAATGTTATTAATTAAAATGTTATTAATTTCGTAAAAATGCGATATAAGTAAAAAGGAAATTCAAAATCGAGGTGCCCATGTTAGTGTGCAGGAGTTTTGGCTCTAGGCGCTGTGATTTTTCTACAATTCTAGGAACATATATACATACATGTGGCAGCTTTTCGCAGATTTTAAGACAAATTTCATTGTATTTACAGAAATATTTTACTCAAACTCTTTATGTTTTAAATGTTTTATTTGATAACCTGTATTCTTTGTATCTTCCTGTCCCGTAATTTCGAAAACAATAAAGCCTTTTGAGGTATTTTATCCCATTCCTCTTGAACAGCTTTCCAAAGTCCCAGGAGGGCTGTAGGTCGACGTTTGGACAATCCGCTTTTTTAAAGTCCAAAAAATCGTAAACATCCATGGGTGATACATCAGGGAGATTTAGGAAGGATATAACCTCGATACTCTCTTCTTATTCGATTTTTTCCCAAGAAATTAACAGTGGCTTGTGAAAGTGTAGTCGCTTGCTTTGTCTTGATGCAGTTCTACTGATTAATTTGGTTACTGATTAATTGTAGGTAAAGAGAAGGTATTTCATACTTAAAAACTGGGTATAAAATATGTTCCTGATATTACGTGAAGTTGATCTTAACAGTTTTCTCCATTCTTTTTATTATTAATTTGCCAATGTATGAAAAACCAGCAATAATCATAAATCCCTTTGAAAAGCGTTCTTTAGATGCTTTGAACCATGTTTTAAGATTTGTTTCTCCTCTTTAATGATAATAAATGATCTCTTTTTAGTACACCCAAGATTTATCTATTGTGACAACATTTTTCGAGTTTTATCGACTGGATAAATGTTTCTTAGAATTCTGCAGCGTGTTTCGCGTTCAGCGGCATGTCCTACAGAAAGAGGATGCAAGTTATGTTTATTCGTCTTTTTAAGATTTAAATCAGTATTAATCATTTTGTTTACATTTGATAACGAGCATTTTAACGATTTTGCAGCTGTCCTTTGACTTCGCGGATTTTCTTTTAACACTAAAGACTCTACTCTTTTAACACTCTTGCCTTTGCAGCATTCGAAATATTCTGTTTTTTTTCCTTGGATATGTATTTGGAATAATTTTTCCACTTGAAGCTAAACTTTAGAAAAAACATGGCTTTCACAGCGTTGTTTAATAAGTAGACAGGAATAATTTTCTTCAGAGAGAGCACAAACGTAGTCTTCCATCCATTTCATCTTTAACAGCGCTGTTTTGCATGAAAACTAAACTGCCAAGTAGCAAACGGTAATTTACACTTTCAAAAATAGATTTGAAATTTAAAAAAAAAAATATTAAGCGAACGAATTTTGTTTTACATCAAAGCAAAATGGTCTAACTATTAATCGAA